TGAGGGAGGGGATCTGCGGCAGAAGGCGGTCTCGGAGATAACCGGGTCCTATGCCATGAAGCGCTTTAAAGGTGGTAACTAACACCTTAAAGCGCACCCGGAGGGCCACTGGCAACCAGTGCAGCTCGCGCAGTAGCGGTGTCACATGGGAGCGACAAGTCCCTCCCATCCAGGGGCTGCTTTGGAAATGTTCTGATATTGCTTATGTCTGGATGTGTCTATTAAATAATCCTATTGATCGGAAAACTGATTTTCCCCACCCAGAGAAAACAATCCCCACTGAACCCTATTGTCCAGCCCCACAAAGAGTTGAATGCAAACTAAAACATATCCTTAACCCTTCTCGAGAGACACAGAAATCTCTCTATTGTCTCGGAAAACATATACTTTTGATGGATTTTCTTAGTTTGAGTCAATCAAATAGGGTATAGTTTAGAAAGAGCCCATTACATCAGTGCAAAGGCATTATCCAGAAAGAGAATGTGACTAAAACTAGGAGGATCTTCTCCTGAGTAGAAAGTCTTTGCCAATGGAGAAGATTTCCTCTTTGCCACTTGAGGTCTAGAAACAAATATGCGATGTGTCAATTCTGCCATCACACCACTGCAGCCCTGCTTTGCATTGATGGTAGCCTGACAAAAAATGTAAGGAGGGGGATAGAGGGATAGAGGGAGGGGGGATGACAGGAACTAGAAGTGCCAATCAGAGACAACAATTGGACAATCCAAGGACACAGACATGGGAATGGAACGTGAACGCCCACCAAAGAGGCACCAAACTTTAGAGCTGTTACCCGAACAACTAATTTGAACCTTATTCGACACTGGCAAACTGACCAGGGGGAGGGAGGCCTGGGAGAAGTGAAAAATATCAGCTTTATATGGGAATCCTCAGGTCTGGCTTTTCCTACACTGTGACCACTTGGCTTTAGGAAAAGCATACCTTTCCCCGCAAAATGAATCAAGGGTCTTTCTTTTCAAATGCCCAAGCTGGGACAGCCCTGACAGGAAGGCTCTCTATTAAATCAGTGTAGGTGTAAGATCCTGTGGAGCAGTTTGATGGTTGGATGTTAGAACTGCCACTCAAAAGAGAAAATGCCTCCTTCCTTAAATTGGGGACGGGATGTAGAGAAAAGGGGGAAAGGTGTGGCTAGACGTCTAGATCTGAGAGGTGTTCCCAATCCTATTGTGGGAAGTCAGACCCCCCCCAGAGAAATAAATATTTTGGGGGATATTAAAAAGGCAGAATGTTATATTTCCCCAAAGGAATAATGGAAAATCTTAGGCAGAAATCACCACTCCCAAGTCTCTCTACCCCAAACAGAAACCAGGTCTGTAGAAATGCAGATGTGATAATCCTGTCAGAAAGTTGGAGCCAGGAAGCTTGGTGCAGATGAGATTAGAAAGACCAAAATCCCTAGAATCAACAAATCTCATCCCAAAAATCCAACACAGGACATAGTCATCAGCCACACCCCCAGGGAAGCAGTTTAGGACATAATAGATTTAACCCACCACCATCAGACTACCAGAAAAGCACACGCAGACTCAGGTCAAAGTTCATGCCACAGGAACAGAAAACAAAAGCCCAAGAAGGTATAAAAAACCAACACTCCCAGCTACATGTGGTAAGCTTTCTCAGAGCCACCTTTCTCTCTGGCTCTCCTCTTCAATAAACTACAACCTTCTTTCTAAAGCAGTCTCCATTTTGTTTATTCCCAGCTTGGACTGGACCCTGATGAAGATTTTTCTTTCAACGCTACTATTTGGAAATGTTTCAAGGACCAAATGATACTTTTTTACATTCTTATTTATAATATTGATGACTCTCCCAGATAACAAGGACACTTGGTGGAATACAACAAATTGATTAACAAAAAAAAGAAGGCATACTGGATACTGGATGAAAATTGGCCAGTATGATGGGATCCAGGAATAGTTTCTTCAAGAGAACAAGGCCTCCTTGAGAGATGCAGGAACAACATCTCTCTCAAGGATGAATTTATGCTGGATTCAGTTCCATTCCTGGGTCTGATCCCAATAACAGAGACTTTCTGCTTCCAGTCCTGTTTCTTACCTCCATCTTCTTTCTTGATCTTTGGGCATTCAGACCCTCCACAGCTCAATACCATCCTTTTGAACAAATTGAAGCTTTTAAAAAAAACCTACCATAACTAACATCTGCTTTTGGAGGAGGAGCTGAGAGACCAGGAAGACATCCAGATTGTACAGCAGTCCTAAGTGAGTCAGTGCAATGTCATGCAAGACCAATGTCCCCACTACTGGGAGAACCAATCATCCACAGCTACTCGATTTTGCTAGGATTAAAATGGAGACTCTTTCTCCCCATCCAATAGACTTCGGGCACTAGGGCAAAACTTTGCTTGGTCAATCAATGGCTGTATATTTGAATATCATCAAGGTAAGGATGATACCTGACCATGAAATGAGAAGGCCTCACTGAGATACCTTGAAAATCAGATTTGGACTCAATGCCTCCCCTCCAGTCAACACTGAATAGAAAGAGATTCAGAGAATGGAGAGAACCACATAACATCATGCACCCTTTTCTATTACCACATTCGATCCAGAGGTGTATCATGGGTGATGATGTCTTTCCCACACCAGTTCACAGTTCTGAAGACATACTTCCCAAAACAAACACAGCAGAAAAACTTTTATGATTCCAACACATTGTTGGATAACCCTCCTGTAGAGTTTAACTTAACCCGACACCTTGAGAGATCCACCTGCCAACCTTTAAGTTCTATGGGAGACGTCAGAGACTAATTTCATCACTTGCCATGTTGGTATTTATAAGCCACTTATTCCATACAAGTATTGATATGATTGCCCAGACTTACTAGGGTACAACTGATTGTCACATGACACTATGCCTCATGAATACTTATACTTTCTAAACAAACTGTGGAAGAGGCCATACTCCACCTTGTGTGCACGTGCTCAGTTTCACATAACTCTAATACCCAACTTCACCTTGACTCTCAACTGAATCTGCTCTGTGGATTAGCAACAGGAGACTCAAACTTGTTTTTCTCGATCTGGAGTATGAAGAGTAGCTATTGCTCAGTAAATAGGACAATTGCTTTTCCATGAAATTATCAGAAAAACAGTAATTTCTAATGTATCCCCTATAGATTTCTATCTACAAAAATCTTCTGAGATAAAACCTGCTTTAAATTATATACTCGGAGTTCTCCTGGTGGGGGCAGACATATTACTTCATCTTGTCTTCCAAAGAGCTGACTCTGAGGTTTGGTGAGATTCAATTGGGTGAGACTCAGCTAGGCTTAGTTTCCTCTTTGGTCACAGTCCAAGTTAAGAGGAAGCATGGTTGATATAAATTTGCATTGGGGGCATCAAGGTGACAAGTTCTACCTGCAATTCACCTTCTGCCCAAACCTGGATTTCTGATCTAGGAAGAGAAGGTGAGAAGAATGGTTGGGCTGCGTCTCCTACTGCTGCTGCTCTTCTGGTTCCTGCCTCCACCGGCTGCTAAGAGTATGCAAACTGGGTGTGTGTTGACAAACACTTTACAGATTACAAGAGACTTTTACAGAACTGGTGATTTCATTATTGGTGGGAATTTTCCTCTGGGAACCATACATGCATCCAGTATCCACAACTTTCAGAAAGACCCATCTCTGCTTAAAGAAAGTATTTTGTAAGTTTCACTCAGAGCAGAAAAATTAAAATAATTATTTGATTGCTTTGTATTCAGGGACTCTTTTCAGAAATACTTGTTTTAGTGATGTTTGCAATATCGTATCATAGTTCAGATCTTTGTGCTTTTCTCAATAAAGAGCCAAACTCATAAAATAGGCAAGAATTCTCTATCTTTTCAGAACTCTTGATCAGCAATAGCAATAGCACTTAGACTTATATACCACTTCACAGTGCTTTACAGCCCCGTCTAAGCAGTTTACAGAGTCAGCGTATTGCCCCCAACAATCCGCATCCTCATTTTACCGACCTCGGAAGGATGGAAGGCTGAGTCAACCTTGAGCCGGTGAGGATCGAACTGCTAAACTGCAGACAGACAGCAGCTAGTAGAGGTAGCCTGCAGTACTGCATTCTAACCACTGTGCCTCCACAGCTCATCAGGAAGCTAATAAACCACCCAAAATGTGAGGCGAAGAAGTTGACTTACAATATTAGTTTGGCCAGAAAGTCATGGTGCAAAACTGAAAGAAGCGGTCAACCCCTTGACACTCTGGAAGAGGTTTAAGAAATGCCTCAGTTTTGGAATCAGGATTGCTCTGACCCCACTGGAGGCTTGTACTCAGCAATGATTACCAGACCAGAAGAAGCTGTTCCAAGAGAGGACCAAATTGGTTGGGGTGGAAGAAGAGCAATTGGGAAGGACCATACCCACTGGAGCAAAAGTGAAGAAGGGAGGGACAATAGAGAGGTATAAAATGATCTGGGATATGGACAGACAGGATTTTCTCCTTTCTCACAGAACCATCAAATATTAATCAAGGAATATCCTTAAGAAAATTAGAATGGAATGGAATGAAATGGAATGGAATAGAATGGAATAGAATGGAATAGAATAGAATAGAATAGAATAGAATAGAATAGAATAGAACTGGAAGGGACCTTGAAGGTCTTCTAATCCAGCCCCCCGCTCAAGCAGGAGAACCTATACCATCTCAGACAAGTGACTGTCCAGTTTCTTCTTAAAAACCTCCAATAAAATTTGGGACTTCCTACTGCAAAGGATATTTTTAAAAAAACACGATAAATTCCACCAGCACACACAAGCTTTCCTTACAATTTCCCCAATGATTTTCTCACTGTAGAGTCATACCAAAGAATTACCAGCAGTTGACAGCCTTGGTGTTTGCAGTCACAGAGCTCAACAAGGATCTAGTTCTTCTCTCCAACATCACACTTGGCTTCCACATTTATAGCAATTTTCAGACTGAGGTGGCGATTTGCTCAAACAGTCTCTCCCTGCTCTCCACACGGGGCCGAATGGTTCCGGGTTACAAATGTGACAGGCAGGACCCTCTGCTCTCTGTCATTGGAGATCTCAATCCCAAATCCTCCAGGCTGATGGCCTCCATCTTCAGCATCTTCAAGGTCCCACAGGTAAGAGGGCCTCATTGGATACAATATCAGGTAGACAAACAAAAAAGTGAAGACACAGAGACATAGAAAAGACAAAGGTGGGAAAAGGTGTTTTGGGGGACATATATTTATATTTTTTGTGTCGAGATATGTTTTTATAGAACCCAACAATGATAAGTAATGCAATAATTTTGAAATGTGGTATTTGCCAAGAGGAATTCCTTCCTAATCTATTCTTCATCAAAATGTAGAGTAGTATATTCTCTGTATTAAGTTGACGGATTGTTCCCTTGGCTTCTGACATGTCATCACCAGGCATCACTTCTTCCTAATATGTAATCCTTCTTCCTAAGAAGGCCAGAAAATTAAGCTTGCCATTCAAAGTGAGCCAGCCTAATAAGTGAGGCAATAATCCACATAATGGTGATCCCTAAAATTTACTCTCTCAAGAATCTCACTTTCTCCAGCTCGGCGTTGGCTTTGAGTCCACTCAAGGAAGCAGAATAGTTTACCCTTCCTTCTTCTGGATCAATCCCAAGGAATTTCCTCAATATGAGGGTTTAGCCCAGCTGCTCCTGTATTTCCAGTGGAACTGGGTTGGATTTATTGCCTCTGAAAGTGAGATTGGAGAACATTTCGTCTCATCTCTGATGCCAATGCTTAAGAAGAAGGAGATCTGCCTGGCCTTCAGTGAAATGTTGAAATTGGATTTTCTTATTATTACAATGTTGAACTTTCTTCCTATTCTGGAGACATGGTCTAAAGCTGAAGTGATTATTCTGTTTGGAGACTCCAATAGTATTACAAATGTACAGGTAGCAATGAATGTCCATGAATATTTGACAAAGACATCATTTTGGAAAGTTTGGATCTTAACTTCCCATTGGAAACTTAGCGTGGTGAGGAATCCAAACATATTGAAAGCAGTCAAGCCCTTCCATGGGGCCTTGCATTTTAGGCACCACACCGGGGATGTCTCAGGATTCAGCCATTTCCTCCTGTCTTTAGACCCCTTGAAGTCACAAGGGGACATCTTTCTCCCACTATGCTGGGAAATGTTGTTTGACTGCAGGTTCCACAAGCCAGGCAGGATCCTTCCAAAAGCGAAAAAACAATGTACAGGAAAAGAGAATTTGCAGAGTCTACCTTCTTACATTTTTGAAACTAGCATGGAAGGTGAAAGTTACAATATCTACAATGCCGTTTATGCTGTGGCACACGCATTGCGTGCCATGCATGGATCTGGAGGACGACCAACCATGACGAGGCTTGGAAAGAGGATCTCAAATATTAAACCATGGCAGGTAATCTCAGTGACTTTTTCTCTAGTCCACAAATTCCTAGTTACCTATATGCATTTCTTGAATCACTGATTAAATATCTGTATGCTATCGATGTATCTAAGAAGAGATTAAGGTAGCAATTATTTTACAACAGAGGGATAGAATCAAGATCACGTGAAGTGTTAATACCACTTTACAATGCCTTGGTATGGCCACACTTGGAATACTGCATCCAGTTTTGGTCACCACGATGTAAAAAAGATGTTGAGACTCTAGAAAGAGTACAGAGAAGAACAACAAAGATGTTTGGGGGACTGGAGGCTAAAACATATAAGGAACGGTTGCTGGAATTGGGTCTGTCTAGTTTAACGAAGAGAAGGACGAGGGGGGACAGGATAGCAGTGCTCCAGTATCTCAGGGGTTGCCCCAAAGAAGAGGGAGTCAAGCTCTTCTCCAAAGCCCCTGAAGGCAGGACAAGAAGCAACGGATGGAAACTAACCAAAGAGAGAAGCAACCTAGAACTAAGGAGAAACTTCCTGACAGTTAGAACAATTAACCAGTGGAACAACCTGCCTCCAGAAGCAGTGAATGCTCCAACACTGGAAGTTTTTAAGAAGAGACTGGACAGCCATTTGTCCGAAATAGTACAGGGTTTTCTGCCTGAGCAGGGGGTTGGACTAGAAGACCTCCAAGGTCCCTTCCAACTTTACCATTATTATCATCATTATTATTATTATTATTATTATTATTATTATTATTATTATTATTATTATTATTATTATTATTATTATTATTATTATTATTATTATTATTATTACAACTTTAATTTGCATTGTGAGAGTTTTTTTGTTGAAAAGGAATAGATGGAGGAAAAAGAGAATTAAACCAAACCAAGAGCAAAGAGCTTCTTGGAAGCTTCTGGAAGGACATCAATGGTTGCCTGAAATATAGCTGTGACCACTCCAGGGAGGAGTGGTCAGCCCAGAGCATGATGACAATCTGGGTGCTTTTGTGCAAAATGCTTTAACAGATCATTTCTAGTCTTAGTGAGTACATTTGCAGAAGCATCCCAGTTTCTCTCAGTAGGTAGCCCGAATCCAATCTGTAAAAATACACTCAATTCATTTTAATGTTGGTTTAGGTTACTGTGGCTTAGAATTCTTGGGTGAATCCACCCCATTTTTTTAGTATGACATTTCTTGTACTGCTTTGTTTGTTCTGTTAAGCCTCTGTCCACCTCAGCATATGCAGCAGAACCCAACATGGTCCTAAAGGGCTCCTGATCTGAAATTCATCAGACTTTTCAACATCAAAGGCTAAATTATTCCTCTCTCGACCCGTGAAATAACAAACCCTATATTATTTTAGAGAAATGGCTGTCCAGTCTCTTCTTAAAGACCTCCAGTGTTGGAGCATTCACCGCTTCTGGAGGCAGGTTGTTCCACTGGTTAATTGTTCTAACTGTCAGGAAGTTTCTCCTTAGTTCTAGGTTGCTTCTCTCTTTGGTCAATTTCCACCCTTTGCTTCTTGTCCTGCCTTCAGGCGCTTTGGAGAATAGCTTGACTCCCTCTTCTTTGTGGCAACCCTTGAGATATTGGAACACTGCTATCATGTCACGCCTTGTCTATCTCTTCATTAAACTAGACATATCCATATTCATCTCTGTTAGTGAGGATTAGATCCAATATGACTAATCCCCTAGTTCCCTTCTCTACTTTTCAGGAGACAAAGTTGTCTGCTAGGTTTGTCAGGAATCTGTTTGATCTTCCACTTGGTGCAGAGTTTGTCTCCCAGTTGATGGCAGGGTAATTAAAGTCCCCCATTACTATAGTGATGTGCTTCCTACCTACCTTAGTTAGCTGACTAGCAAAAAGTTCATCTATTTCCTCTGTTTGGTTGGGTGGCCTATAGTATACACCTATGGTAATGTCATTTTTCCCCTTTTATATTGACCCAAATGCATTCAAGACAGTTTTCATCATTGTTGTGCTCTATTTCTGTAGAGATGTAGTTATTTCTTATATAGAGAGCAACTCCACCTCCTCTTTTATTTAGTCTATTTCTTTTAAATAATTTAAATCCCTCTAGCTGTGTGTTCCATTTGTGGGTTTCACCTCACCATGTTTCGTAATGGCAACAATATCATATCTGCCCTCATTTACGTGAATTTCTAATTCACCTTGTTTATTGTTCATACTCTGTGCATTGGTGTATAGACATTTGAGTCCTTTATGAATGACCCTGTGTTTACTTTCTACATAACCTGTGTGGTGCCTGGGTTCCCCTATTTTCTTACCACCTGTTTGGTTACTGCACTTTTTGTGGCACTCCCTATTAAAAGCTTGATTTTGCTTGATAGCAAGATTGATATTCTTTTCCACACACACATCTATATTACATGCACTGCTAACCCTGTAATTTTTTGATTGCCAAGGACAGGGATGTATCAATTAACTCATTTCCCCCATTGTTTATTTTAAATATTCCTCCAGGAAATCTGTGAGTTTATTGCCAAGTAACTCAGTCCCTTTCTTTGATGCATGCAAACCATCTCTTTTGTACATTATTTCATTGGACCAGCTACAGACATTGTGACTAATATAACCAAAGCCTTCCCCTTTACACCACTCCTTTAGCCACATATTGAATTCTGCTATACGCTGGCCTTTTCCATTTTGCTTCTTATACACTGGTAAAACACTGGAATTGAAGAAGCCATGATATAAACATCCAATAATAAAGAGAATATGTTTTCATTTTGGGGATGGAGTTGAATATTTGATGTTAGTTCTGAGTGCTTAGATCTCCACCAAGGGCACTCATTTAGCTTTTTAAATATAGACACATCTCCTAAGATGATGGCCATTACATTATGATAGAAACCAGGATGTATTATGTGTAGCATTCAGCCAATTAATCCAGGTGTCTTTTCTTTCAGATTCTTCCCTATCTGAAGAACGTCAAGTTCAACAACAGTGCTGAAGAAGTCTCCTTCTCAGAAAATGAATTGGTATCTGCTGGTTATGATCTTCTTAACTGGCTTTTCCTCCCCAATCAATCTTTTGTCCCCATTAAAGTTGGACAAATAGATCCAAGGGCTCCCCCAGGCCAGAATTTCACCATTAACTCTGATGGAATCATCTGGGCCACAAAAGTGAGTTGAAAGGAAATCTTATAAATTCAGGAAAGGCTTCATTCTCTCCTGGGGCGGCAGAACATCCTTCTAACTGGAAAACAGCTCTATTGAACCAGAAAATATTTCAGGAATTTTTTGAAAAAACCTGCTTCTGAATTTAACACATTTGAGATTTGATTTTGAAAAGTCCAAGATGCAGTAGGATTGGAAAGAAACCTAGGATACTATTAGAGCAAAAAACAGTGATTTCTATGGACAGTTCCCATTCAGTTGGATCCTCACGATTCCTTGTTTCTTTGCATTTTGAGATCCCATTTCCAATCTCCAGCATCCATTGGGTCAGGATTACCACTGGCCTGAATCCCCCTGGAGCTTATTCTTTTTTCTGATAGGCCATTTCTTTTGGAAGACATTCTAAAGATGGAAACAAAAATATAGAAAGAGACAAATGAAGCATACTTATTACTTAGGCCATCTCAAACATTTTTTTTTGTCTTTTAGAAGGTGCCCTTTGCCAGGTGTGGCATGAAGAGGTGCCATGCAGGAGAGAGGAGACATGTTCCAGAGGGCAAGCAGGTTTGCTGCTACCAATGTGACCCTTGTCCAGAAGGGACCATTTCAGATCAGACAGGTAGGGCAGAGCTCAAATGTTGATTTTGCAGGAAGTCATTCAGTGAGGAAAAAAAATTAGCATCAATTTTGGTAGCATTCTTTATCTGCTTCGATATATTCATACTTTTCAGCAGACCATCACAATTCATGAATCTAATGTCATGGTTCCGAAAAGAAGCAGCTTTTCAAATACCTTTGAGGCTTATTTACCTTAAAGAATCCTTTTATTGCTACATAGCTTCGGCACGTACAATAATGAAGCCAAAAACTGAAACCTCCCACCCCCAATCACCTGTAACAAAGCATAACTCACTCCTTCATTTTACAGTCATCAATCACATTCTCCAATTAGTATGAAGTGTGAATGGTCCCGCCCCTACTTCTTCTGTTACAGCTGACCTTGGCAGTGCTGTGCTGAAATATTGTTATGGTTAACTAGCATATTTTCCCATCCACTAGGCTAGTATTGTCTGCTTTAACTCTAGAAGTGATATGCAGGCTAAATAAAACATGTTTGCTTCTTCACATATGACAAGCAAGAACATCCGATGTTAGCAGTCTTGACATCTAAACTATACTATCCTCACGGAACACTTTTCTTGCCCCTCAGCAATTTAATACAGGTTAGTTTCAAGACACAATTTATAGGTTCCCTGCTAGATTTTCCACTCCTACTTTTACATCCCATCAGCAAAACCACCTGCATTTTTTTTGTGAAAGAATGGGATGTGAGATTCAAGCTTTAATTTTTATTAAGAACTAGCTGTACCTGGCCACGCGTTGCTGTGGCTCAGTCTGGTAAAAGCGTGTGTTGCTTTTACGTCCAAAAGATGGCGCTGTTTTTTTTTTAAAAGCATGTTTTACCTGTAGGTGTGACCTCTATATAATATATGTATATATGTATATATGTATATAAAAACACGTGCATATTCGAACGCAACATTGTGTCAAAATTTCAAAGCAATCGGTGAACTTTCGGAGATTTAAGATTTTGAACAAACGAACATTTACATTTTTATTTATATAGATAAAGGAGAGTTCTTGTCTCAGAACTTATCAATCTCCCAGGAAATGCATAGACCTGTTGGAACAAAAGAAGATCCATTTACCTATGTCTGCTAACCCTTCCCTGCAAAAAAGATTGAATGAGTGGATTTGAAGTATAAAGCAGAGAGGTTGATCCTTTTTCCTGGCTAACCTATTCCCAAGGTCATCAATATGGATGTATGATTTGCCCTTGTTGATTCACCATGAAATGCACACTGACTCTTGATTTCAGATGCAGCTTGCTGTGACCCCTGCCCAGAAGACCGATATCCCAACAAGGACAAGGACCACTGCATTGCCAAGAAGATCCACTTCCTTTCCTATCAAGACACCCTGGGATACGCTTTAGCTTCTCTAGCTCTTTCTCTCTCTGTGATCACATTGGCAGTCCTGGTGATTTTCCTTAAGCATCGCGACACACCAATTGTCAAGGCCAACAACCGAGATCTCACCTACATCCTCCTGGTCTCCCTCCTGCTCTGCTTCCTCTGCTCTTTCCTCTTTATTGGTCAACCAGGGAAGCTCATCTGTCTCTTCCGACAAACTACCTTTACCATTCTCTTTTCCCTTGCAGTTTCCTCTGTCTTGGCAAAAACTGTCATGGTGGTTCTGGCCTTCATGGCTACTAAGCCAGGGAATAGGACAAGGAAACTCTTAGGAAAACTACTGACCAACTCCATTGTCATGGCTTGTCCCATGGTTCAAGCAGTTCTTTGTGCCGTCTGGCTGGTAATCTCTCCCCCATTTCCCAACTTGGACTTCCATTCGCTGGTAGGAGAGGCCATCTTGGAATGTAATGAAGGCTCAGCTTTAATGTTTTACGCTGTCCTCGCCTACCTGGGTTTTTTGGCCTTTATCAGTTTCACTGTGGCTTTTCTGGCTAGGAAATTGCCTGACAGCTTTAATGAAGCCAAGTTCATTACTTTCAGCATGCTGGTCTTTTGCAGCGTTTGGATCACCTTCATCCCCGCCAATCTGAGCACCAAAGGGAAGTCCATGGTGGCCGTGGAGATCTTCTCCATCTTGGCCTCTGGGGCTGGTCTGCTGAGTTGTATCTTTTTTCCTAAATGCTACATTATCCTATTGAGGCCACATCTGAACTGTAGGGGAAATATAATAAGGAACAAAAAACTCTAACTAAGGCAGGCATGGGGAAGATATTTATTTTTGAGACATGATTAGTAGCTGATGACATTTCTGAAATATGATAGTTAAGTTAATGAAAATAAATAAATAAATAAATAAGAGAAGAAGGTACATGTCCATTAAATAATGCCTTATCGTGTGTTATAATAAAAGTCAGTTGAGTTGGGTGATATAGAAATTCAATCAATCAATCAATATATCTGTTGTTATCAGGAATCATGTGGCCTTTTTCACCCCATGTCTTCAATTGTCTTCAATTGTCCCCAGTGAAGCTGAGGGCCCTATGTAGAAATAAAGATTGATGTTAAATATATGTTTTTTATTTCAAGAGGGATATTTTCTCATTTTATTTTTTTTAATTAAATATTTTACTATTTTAGCATTTTAAAGGATGATGTTCCATGTCAGTGTTTTTGAGCATATATGTTTATCTCCATAGTCTCTTGTGAATCGTAGAATTCTCTGCTGCTGTTCTTTTGTTTTGTTTTGTTTTTTTGTGGTGGAGATGAAATTGTCAATCTGTTACCCAATTCTGCTCTGCTGCATCTTCAATTGGGAGCATTTATGGTTGGTATGAGAACATAATATCTGTATGCACACATTGCTTTAACTATCCCTTGTGCCATGTAATAATAATAATAATAATAATAATCATCATCATCATCATCATCATCATCAAGACCAAGCCTTAAGGACAAATGGATATAAAGTCAAAATTGAGAAGACAGGAACAGACAGTAAGTGCCGCCTATGCAAAGATGCTGAAGAAACAGTGGACCACCTGGTAAGCTGCTGCAAGAAGATCGCACAGACTGACTACAAGCAGCGGCATGACAAAGTAGCAACAATGGTGCATTGGAAGATCTGCAAGAAATATCATTTACTGGTGGGATCATAAAATAGAGAAAGTCATAGAAAATGATAAAATTAAACTGCTCTGGGACTTCAGAATTCAAACAGACAAGCACCTGCAACATAACACCCCGGACTTAACAATTGTTGATAAAAAAGACAAAAAAGTCTGGATAGTGGACGTGGCAGTGCCTGGAGACGGCAGAATAGACGAGAAAGAACTGGAGAAGATAACAAAATACAAAGACCTACAAATAGAAATAGAAAGACTGTGGCAAAAGCAAGCAAGGGTAGTACCAATAGTAATAGGAACCTTGGGTGCAATCCCAAAACAACTGGAACACCACTTGAACACCATTGGCATTGACAAATTTGCCATTAGTCAATTGCAAAAGGCGGCCTTACTAGGAACTGTTTCCATCCTGCGACGATATCTGTAATAACATCAAACATCCACATCTGCCTATCCCAGGTCCTTGGTAAGGACTCGATAGGTAGACAGAATGACAAATCCAGTCTGAACATCTGGCTGACTGTGCAATGATCAATAATAATAATAATAATAATAATAATAATAATAATAATAATAATAATAATAATAATAATAATAATAATAATAATAATAATAATAATAAAATAATAATAATAATAATAATAATGATGATGATGATGATGATGATGATGATGATGATGATGATGATGATAATAATAATAATAATAATAATAATAATAATAATAATAATAATAATAATAATAATAATAATAATAATAATAATAATAATAATAATAATAATAAAAAAGTTAGAAGGGACCTTGGAGGTCATCTAGTCCAACCTTCTGCTCAGGTAGGAAACCCTATACCATTTCAGACAAATGGCTGTCCAGTCTCTTCTTAAAAACTTCCAGTGTTGGAGCATTCGCCACTTCTGGAGGCAGGTTGTTCCACTGGTTAATTGTTCTAACTGTCAGGAAGTTTCTCCTTAGTTCTAGGTTGCTTCTCTCCTTGATTAGTTTCCATTTGTTGTTTCTTGTCCTGCCTTCAGGTGCCTTGGAAAATAGCTTGACTCCCTCTTCTTTGTGGCAGCCCCTGAGATATTGGAATATTGCTATCATGTCCCCCCTCGTCCTTCTCTTAATTAAACTAGACATACTCAATTCCAGCAGCCATTCCTTATATGTTTTAGCCTCCAGTCCCCCAAACATCTTTGTTGTTCTTCTCTGTACTCTTTCTAGAGTCTCAACATCTTTTTTACATCGTGGTGACCAAAACTAGATGCTGTATTCCAAGTGTGGCCTTACCAAGGCATTATAAAGTGGTATTAATACTTCACGTGATCTTGATTCTATCCCTCTGTTAATGCAGCCCAGCACTGTGTTGGCCTTTTTGGCAGCTGCAGCACACTGCTGGCTCATATTTAAGTGATTTTCCACTAGGACTCCAAGATCCCGCTCACAGTTACTACTATTGAGCAAGGTACCCCCTATACTATACCTGTACATTTGTTTTTTCTTGCCTAAATGTAGAACCTTACTTTTTTCACCATTTAATATCTCAGATAACAGTATAACAGAGTTGGAAGGGACCTTGAAGGTCTTCTAGTCCAACCCCTTATTTCTCAGAGCTCCTCTGTAAATCATGATGCTCTATGATAATTGCATCCCCATAGAGATTTGCACCTGTGCAGAATCAAATTGCAGGACCCAAAGCAAATAATCAAGGCTCACTGCATTATTAAATCAGACAAAATCTTTAAAGCCTTTTTAACCCTTCAAATAGCGTTTTATCTCACATTTAAACCTAACTCTAGCTTTATCAATTATAACATTAACAATAAGTCCATCTTCTTCAACCATTGTTAAATAAAAAAAAAAGAACCTTTAGGACCTAGACTCCCATCCATTCATAGTTAAATCAAACAAATTCAGTTATTACAGCATAATTATCATATTTATAATAGTCTTCCTTCATTATTAAATCAGAAAAAAACCTTAAAGACCTTTTTAACCCATCAGATAACATTTAATGTCATGTTTATATCTGACTCTAGCTTTCTTTCTAT